TTTCTCCACACGCTATTCTTCTATTTGGGGACGTACTCCTCAGATTTTTAAAACTTTTACAGGTTTCTTCAGTTTTTCACTGGCGACAGCAAGATTTCGTGCAGTGTTGTCAACCGCGAAGATAGTACGAAGAACACCCAAGTGATATTACTTGACCTCATTTCATCGTACAACACTTCGTTTTTTAATAATTTTCTGCAAGTAGGAGTTTAGTACCAAAAAAACTGCTTAGAGCAAACTTATGGAATTTCATGGCCAGATAATAAAGAAAATAAAAAAATTAGGGTTCTCGCACATACTTGAAATTCTGAAATTCTCGTAGTACCTCACAAGTTCCAGGAGAATGAAAGGAACTTGCAGGTTCTGTCTTCGAAGATGCGAGAAGTCGATGGCTGATCAAAGGCATTTTTTGATGGTAAGAGCTCAAGCAAAACGTGCAGTCATTAAACTCTTTGACTAGCCGCTATTTTTACTGGTCTGGGCAACAGTTCTGTTGACCGTACCGTTACAACTGTGTAAGTGTTATAACAAAGATTGATAATTTTAACATAATATTGGAATTTCGTTGGGTATTTTAAACCAGGAAATGCGCCTTTTTAGGATTCATGGTTAAAATAGCGCACTTAAAGTTGTATTGTACTCTACCAAGTAAGTTAGCTTTTCGAACAGGATAGATTAGTCAAAAAGACAAGATATGGAGTCCCCGGTCAACTCTTCAGTTTTCCTGACTTAATTATTCCTGGTTTTCCACATCGCTTCCTCTCTAGCTCTTTCTCGTCAAGTAAAGGAACTTTCTTACCCGCAAAACTGACCACCCAACATTTATTGGAAGCGGGTAAAACTTTTTTGTTATGCATTATCCCAATTAAGTCTTGGGAATTGCTTTCCGAGCTACAAAGTCCTGAAGTTTCCAGTTATATCTTCTGCTATTTCTTTTTAAATTATACAAAAATTTGGAAAAGAAAAGATATTTAAGAATTGATTTGAATGAGAAATCCAAGCAGAACTTAGACCGACATGCAACGGTTAAGTCTTTTAACCTGCAACAGGTTTCCCAAAACGACAAGCCTTCCCATCTCCCCTCTCTCTGTCTGCGAAGATCGTCAGAAAATTAGATCTTTGTAATTCATTGTAGTTCTACTGCCATGTTAGTCTAGAACGAAAATTTGTTCAATGGTAGCAAAGAGGGAGGTTCTTCAGCATCATAAAGTTTCATTCTGAACTTCCTACGTTCTCGTTCTTTTCGACCTCACACTGAATCTGCGGTTGCTTATATCTGCAAGGTTTATGATGCTTTGTCTCCCCATTATTGTCGCTATATTTTTTATATTCCATCTGATAATTGCGGTGGGAATTCGATTTCCTGAACCAACTGTAGGAAAACTTTCTAAAAAAACTGAACGGCGATAAAATCGAATTTAATAGCGGGATTCAGAAATGCTTAGATACGAAATAAAAAAATTATTTTAGTTGATACTATCTGTTAGGAGTTCCCCAAGAAAACCTCCCACTTAAACTTGTAGGGGAGCGTTGGGAACGCAGTCGCACTTCCAAAAATCCAAATGAAAAATTCGAAAAAGTAGTAAATTCAATAACGAGAGAAAAAGTTCAAACTTCTGAACTCAGATTCTCTTGCATCGACTGATAGGGAATCTTTTAGCTGTTTTCCAAATTTCAGTACTTTCTCTAAATTTCTATCTCGTAAATATACAAGTGATCGCATAACATCTGAAGACGGCAAGACAGTTAAAGCATCGTTTTCGTGAAGAAGGGCTGAGGTGAAATGGGATGTGTAGCACTATTTGCGAGTTTAATCGGGAAACATGCTGTGTAAATGTTGCAAAGATAGTTTTAAAGTGAAGGAGACAACGAATGTACATAAAAGGATTAGAGGTGATAGGTAAGATGACATTTTCAAAAAAAGGAATTTTTTTTAGCAAAGGGGAGGGTTTCTGTTAAGCGTTTTTTGAGTCATTTTTATCATCTACTGCTGTTATAGGAAAGTTGTCAAGGTTTATTTTTTCACTTCTGCAGAAAATTGTAAATTTTTTCTGCTGCAATTTTTTTATCCAGATCAATGAGAAAGAGGTTACCCTTTCTTTACACGGCGTTTTAATATTCTGTTTTTACTTGATTCATTTTTTGCAAGTCACTTACAACCTTAGTAATATATTTATTGAAGAACTTTCGAGTAAACTCTTATTTCAGTTCCAAAGTGCCTGTTACTGCCTGGTCCTAAAATTAAAAGTGATTGAGCAAGCGTTACTCAACAGGAAACATTGTCTGCTGTTTGAAGACCTTGAGGACCGGAGTATTAAGAAAGAAAATTCCTGTAAGAAGTAAAAAGAGTGATAACTTTAATTAGTTCTTGGAAAACTTTTGGTATGCTTTGTGCTTTTTCTTAATGTCTTCCTGCTACTATAAGCTGTTCTTGCCCGGGTCTATGTAGACCGGTGCAGACCACACCCCTTTCTTATTGCGTTTCAATTTGTCAATATTTTTTCCTTTCCTTTAACAGGATTTGTCTCTTATTTTTTTGTGTTTTAGTGAAATTAAAATTTATGAGCCCCTGTTCTAGTTGAATTTGTAAACTGATTCCAAAAAGCAGCTAAGAGGCAAAGAATTCTTCACTTGGAACATGGTAATAATGAAGATTAATAAAAAATAAATGAATTAGTAAAAACTAAGGTGAAAAAACTTCAACAAAGAATCCGTACTTTATTGTGCTAACAGCCGGTTCCAGGATTTTAAGTAATTTTGACTTCGAAAATATTACTTCAAGATATGAAATTACCATAAACACATGTTGAAGATTGAAATAGCAAAAATTAAAGTCCCAACAACGGTTAAAAAAATTTACACATTTAATTGATAAATAAAGACAATCATAATAAGGAAAATATAGAAGGAGTAGAAGAAAATCAACACTTCTACAAACACCCTCTTCGCAAGACCATCTCCTTCAGCCTATTTCTCATCAAAGCTACCAGCTGCTCAATTCTGTTCTTGGTACTTCAATCCTTTTAAACTACTGTTACAAGTTTTTCACTACTCCTCGATACAAAGGCGCAAGTCTCTCTATAATACTTTCACTGAGTTTAAGTAGAGACTATAATGGCAAATAGTTTGACCTTATTTCTCCTCACCCATCTGGTGATAAAAGCTGAGACGCATTTTGGGTTATTATCTCCCTACAGGGTCTAATTCTCGGGATATTTCTTCGCTGAACGTGGCGGGACACTTAAAAAGCTGACAAAGATGCGCGAACCAAGGGCCTTTTTGGTCCGGAAAACTGCTCTTGGTGCGTGGAAACTCAAGGCTGTCTCGCCTCTCGTGCATACTTAATTCACCTTCAAATTTCGGAGTCCTCTGGATGCAGCTAGAATTAAAGCCCCCACTTACTCTCCTTCCATTGAAAATCCTACTTCTCCTACTCCTGTAAAACTTACTATCATCAGCGAAGACCACTCGCTATCAGTTTGTATCTGTTTGATCAAAACAGTGCCGGCAAACTGCAACCAAAGTTTTCTGTTCTTGGTCGAGGCAAATGGTTTCTTCCTCGCAACCTTTTCATGCAGACCAAACTCACGCAGGCTTCTGCGCAGAGTCGCAAAACTGATGTTGTTACCGTCTTGGCTTTCCATATCATCTGTGTGTCCACAGCTGTCAGGTGACTGCCGGCTTCTGACAACCGCCAGATACGCCAATCCAATCCCCAGTAGTTTTCTCAGTAGTTTTCCTCTTAACTTCTCGTTGTTTTGACTGTTTGCAGTTCATCCTGTTAATCTGGCTGTAAACAAATACATACTTAGATCGGCCAAGATACTTCGCAACAGCGGAAGAACCAAGATTTTTATTTTTTTTCTAATCTAGCAATTACCGTTTTTCGGACAGACTGAAGTTTGACTCTCGATCAATTTCGGTCGAGAGTTAAATTTTAGTCTGTCCTAAAACGCAGTGACAAAACACGCTAGGTGACAGAAAAACTCAATGACGTGAAAGCAAAAGCGAAATCTCGTTATCTTAGCGTTCTTTCAAAAAAGAACTAAACAGTTGAATTGTTGAAGTTCTTATGTAGAAAAATTTTCCTCTAGATGGCCTTTTTTTTTTCGGCTTATAATTCTAAAACAGTCAGAAGAATTTTAATAGATGATCTTTACTTAAATAATTTAGTCTTCAGTAACTCACTGTTAAGTAAAACTTTTTCTGCCAAGAACTAGAAGAGTTACAGTTAATAACCCTATAGATTTTATCTGTTCGCATCGACACTAAAATTTTGGCGTGCACTATGTATATTTATATTTAATTCTAACCGTAAGAAATTTCTCCTCCACTGGAGAAGGCTCAGTAAGAAGACTATATTTAGAGTTTACAAAGGAAAGAACACCCTAATGCGCATCTGCAAAAGATGGTACAGTTAATTTCTGAAAAACAAGAGGACGTAGTCATTGTCGACAATCGGCAAGAAGAGCCAGTTATAGAGAAACTCCAATGTCCGCAACAGTAAACGCATAAACACATATATATACAGTGGTTTTGAAGACGATTGGTAAAAGATGGTCGACGGTAGATGTGAAGGAATAGCTTGCATAGCTTTTACACTGCAGTGGCGAAGTGCCAAAAGTGCTGGATACATTCCAAGTTAAGCATTTTTTGCACCTCGAAGAATTTTCGCATCAAATTGGAATTAGCCTCTGTTGCATAGCCAATGTTTCACGTGTATTGCATATATCATGTACATTATGGTTCCAGTATTAGGGAGTAATCGGTTGAGGTCGTACATTATGGTGGTAAATTAAGCTGTTTAACAGTAGTTCTTACAATAAGTTTGAGCCGTAGAAAGAAGAATTGTTGAAAATTTGTTGGTATTACTAGTCAGGGAGGCCCATATCGATATGCCAGATGTCTAAGAACTGTTCGCACTTTTCAGCTTCTTGTACAGCTAAAATTTCTTATTATAATGTTATTTTTCGTATTCTGTATAGTTTTTAGTTTTATTTTTATTGCACTTGATTCAAAATGCTATATCCTTTTTTTTTTTTTTCAAAATGCTTTTTTTTTTTGAAGTGGGGAAAATTTTTTTACTACCGAATTTTTCACTTTTATTCTTTCTGGTTTGGTTTTTTATTACCAGTTCAACTTTTCTCAGTAAGTGGCAAAAAACAAGAATTCTGTGTAGCTTTCGCTCCAGTGGCATTGTGTGTTTTAAGCGTTCGCTAACTTAGAAAGTTTATACTTTTAATTCATTTTACATGATTTAAACAGATTATTGGTACTTAGTAAAAAATTGAAATGATTTTTCTGGTGGAGAGAGCAGGAGAGGAGACTAAAATAGAAGACATTT